ATGCAAAGCTACAGATTTAAGAAATTATATATATTTCTTTTAAGAAAAATTTTTTCTCAGTATAAAAATATGTATAATAGTAAATATGTTATTAGTACCCACCGAAAATAAATATTTTTTATTTTTCAGGTGTTTGTTCTTTCGGTGTAAGCTTGCGTGAAATATTCATTCTTGTAGTTTCGAGTAATAGTATTTTCATTATAATTTCGAGTGAAAATATTACCACTTTTCTTTTTGAGTGAGATTCCATTCAAGAGTTCATAACATCACTGAATCACGTTTTTATCAACAAAATATCGATTTTAAATCGATCAATTCTCTATAAACGTGTGGTATTCCTAGAATATTATATGAATATTATTCAATATTAACATAACATTCTTATATTTTTTTAATATTATAGGAATGTTCTGTTGATGTTATATGTCCGCTTCACATAATATTCTTGGAATATTATAAAAATGTTCTTGGAATATTAAAAAAATAAAATAATAATAATATGTAAAAATATATATAAATAAAAAATAGATACTATATATATACATATATATACGTGTATAATCTTTTTAATATAAAATGCATTTTTACACAAAATTCTTTCGGCTTTATATAATAAAACAGTTGGTTTTGCAATACATTTTAAATAAAAAAAGTACAATTATACATGTTATATATATACATAGATTTGAATATTTGAAAAATATATAATATTAAAATAACCTTAAATAATATTATTTTTTTAATATTATTAGGAGTGGACATATAACCATTTATTAATATTTCAGAAATATTATTTGATATTAAATAATGTTACTAGATTATTACTAGAATATTACATCTAATATTCTAAGAACATGCCCGGAATATTACTTAATATTAAATAACATTATATGAATATAGGATTAGTTTCTCGATGTAAAGACAATACGATATATATCCGAGATGATTCTTACGGTCGAACGGGAGGAGATTAAAACGACGGATACTCACTGGTCGCCTATCTGACGGACGTTTGCGAAGAAACGGCGAAGTCGGCATTATAATGACGTTCGGCGCGTTTCTGAAGTGTCGAATCGTGTATCTTGCGTGTATCTCTATCGTGCCTTATAAATCGACGATAAGATACGACCGGGAAAATATGCCTGGCACAAACATACAAACAACCTCTTAAATTTCAATGCGTTTTCGGTTTATATTCGGTTGCGCATTCGGCTGCTTTATCACGACCGATTTCGCCGCTTCTTTCTTGCCGCCCCCTCCTCTTCTTTACTTTTTTTTCCTTTTTTCGAGGCTTTTATTGGGGCCCGACGATGCGTCGCGTGATTATGATATCTGTCAGATAAAGCGTCAGTAGAATGATTAAGAATTACGACCGGCCGTATTTCGTGTTTCACGTCGCGGAGGAGGAGGATTCTGTGTATTGTCGTGCAATTTCATCACAGCTTCGGCAGCTATCGTG